GTAGGGAATGGCGTTTTATATCGTAGGGAATGGCGTTTTATATCGTAGGGAATGGCGTTTTATATCGTAGGGAATGGCGTTTTATATTGTAGGGAATGGCGTTTTATATTGTAGGGAATGGCGTTTTATATTGTAGGGAATGGCGTTTTTGATAGTTGGACGAGACTTTTTTTATATTTACTGATACAGAGATTCATCTCTGATAAATCTTTAAATTAGAAGTGTGTCAAAATCGCCACGCCCCAATATCAAAAACGTCAAGCCCACTATCAAAAGCGTCCACCTTATATAAAAAATATCACGCTCCTATATAAAAAAAAAAGAATGTTACGTCATAATGTCTAAAACGTCATGCCCAACTATCAAAAACGTCCTGCCCTAATATCAAAAACCTCACGTCCAACAATCAAAAACGCCATTCCCTACAATATAAAACGCCATTCCCCATTTTCAAAAGCGTCACGCCATACTATCAAGAACGTCTCAAATTACTAAACGTTCTCAACTCAAATATTCTTAGATATAACATTTTCCCTTAAATGTTCTATCTAGATGGCCTGAAAATCCTTAACTGTGTAAACTGATTTCTTAACATCAATCAGTTTACGTATTACTCGGTTACCTATTCCTTATTTTGTATGGAAATCTAAATATAAAAACATATATGACACTTACTATTTTAGATAATATAGGTAAATGAACTACATGTACAACTCTGTCACATACAGATATAACAAGAAAAAACATACATACCCATTTCGTCGAGTTCTGTTGTTCTGTTTAATCCATTTTCTTATCTGAATAAAGAAATGATTAAGAAATACAATCATTTTTTAACATTTAGGGCGAACAAGGTATCAATAGCATATTGTACATAATACGTACATGTACGTTTGAAACTACAGGTAAGTATGCGATGCCCTCGCTGTTACAGATGTGTAACTACTGAGTCAATTCCCTCGCCTTTACAGTTATGTACATTGTAACTACGTATATGTAGTCAACGCCCCCGCCGTTACAGATATGCAACTTTTTATATGTTTCTTTGTCAATGCCCAAACACTTTAACTATGCACTTAATGCCCATGGTTAGAGGATAGTCGCTATGTAATCAACCCACGCCNGTAGGGAATGGCGTTTTATATCGTAGGGAATGGCGTTTTATATCGTAGGGAATGGCGTTTTATATCGTAGGGAATGGCGTTTTATATTGTAGGGAATGGCGTTTTATATTGTAGGGAATGGCGTTTTATATTGTAGGGAATGGCGTTTTTGATAGTTGGACGAGACTTTTTTTATATTTACTGATACAGAGATTCATCTCTGATAAATCTTTAAATTAGAAGTGTGTCAAAATCGCCACGCCCCAATATCAAAAACGTCAAGCCCACTATCAAAAGCGTCCACCTTATATAAAAAATATCACGCTCCTATATAAAAAAAAAAGAATGTTACGTCATAATGTCTAAAACGTCATGCCCAACTATCAAAAACGTCCTGCCCTAATATCAAAAACCTCACGTCCAACAATCAAAAACGCCATTCCCTACAATATAAAACGCCATTCCCCATTTTCAAAAGCGTCACGCCATACTATCAAGAACGTCTCAAATTACTAAACGTTCTCAACTCAAATATTCTTAGATATAACATTTTCCCTTAAATGTTCTATCTAGATGGCCTGAAAATCCTTAACTGTGTAAACTGATTTCTTAACATCAATCAGTTTACGTATTACTCGGTTACCTATTCCTTATTTTGTATGGAAATCTAAATATAAAAACATATATGACACTTACTATTTTAGATAATATAGGTAAATGAACTACATGTACAACTCTGTCACATACAGATATAACAAGAAAAAACATACATACCCATTTCGTCGAGTTCTGTTGTTCTGTTTAATCCATTTTCTTATCTGAATAAAGAAATGATTAAGAAATACAATCATTTTTTAACATTTAGGGCGAACAAGGTATCAATAGCATATTGTACATAATACGTACATGTACGTTTGAAACTACAGGTAAGTATGCGATGCCCTCGCTGTTACAGATGTGTAACTACTGAGTCAATTCCCTCGCCTTTACAGTTATGTACATTGTAACTACGTATATGTAGTCAACGCCCCCGCCGTTACAGATATGCAACTTTTTATATGTTTCTTTGTCAATGCCCAAACACTTTAACTATGCACTTAATGCCCATGGTTAGAGGATAGTCGCTATGTAATCAACCCACGCCAATGCCCTCAGCATTAACCTTTGTAACAACGTAGTCTATGCCCTCGTGTATGAACTTTGTAACCACGTAGTCCATGCCCTCGCCTTTTAACTAACTATGTAGGTCAATGATCTCACCATTAACCTTTGTAGCCATATAGCCAATGCCCTAACCATTTAACCGCGTAACCATGTATTAAATACCCTCAACATTTAACTTTGTTACCAGGCAGTCAATGCCCTAACTATTTAACTGTGTAACTACGTAGTCAACGCCTTCACCATTTACCTTTTTACCATGTAGTCAATTCCCTCACTATTTAACTTTGGAACTACGTAGTCAATGCGCTCACCATTTAACTTTGTAGCCATCAAGTCAATGCCCTCACCATTTAACTTTGTAACCATGTAGTCAATGCCCTCACCATTGAACTTTTTTACCACGTAGTCAATGCCCTCACCATTGAACTTTGAAACTATGTAGTCAATGTCCTCACCATTTAATTTTGTAACCATGTAGTCAAAGCCCTAACCATTAAACTTTATAACCGTATAGTGAACACCCTCATCATGAACTTTTGTAATCACGAAGTCAATGCCATCACAATTAAATTTTGGAACTTCGTAATCAATGCCCGCACCATTTGACTTTATAACCATGTAGTCAATGCTATCACCATTCAATTTTGTAACAATTAAGTCAATGCCCGCACCATTTGACTTTATAACCATGTAGTTAATACCTTCACCATTTAACTTTGTAACCATGTAGTCAATAACCTCACCATTTAACTTTGTAATATTGTAATCAATGCCCTCCCGTTTAACTTTGTAATATTGTAATCAATGCCCTCCCATTTAACTTTGTAACCACGTAGTCAATGCCCTCACCGTTTAACTTTGTAACCATTAAGTCAATGCCTTCACCATTTAACTTTGTAACCATGTAGTCAATAACCATACCATTTAACTTTGTAATATTGTAATCAATGCCCTCCCATTTAACTTTGTAACCACGTAGTCAATGCCCTCGCCATTAAATTTAGTAACCTAGCAGTCTATGCCCTCACCAGTAACCTTTGTAATCATGCTGTCAATGCCGTCGCCATTAAATTTAGTAACCTAGCAGTCTATGCCCTCACCAGTAACCTTTGTAATCATGCTGTCAATGCCGTCGCCATTAAATTTAGTAACCTAGCAGTCTATGCCCTCACCATTAAACCCTGACACCTTGTAACAACAGAGTAAATGCCCTGGCCATTATACCTTGTAACACGAGTCAATACCCTCGCCATTTCACCTTGTAACAACAGAGTAAATGCCCTCATCCCCTCGCCATTTCACCTTGTAACAACAGAGTAAATGCCCTGGCCATTATACCTTGTAACACGAGTCAATACCCTCACCATTACACCTTGAAACAACAGAGTCAATGCCCTCGCCATTACACCCTGTAACAACAGAGTAAATGCCCTGGCCATTATACCTTGTAACACGAGTCAATACCCTCACCATTACACCCTGTAACAACAGAGTAAATGCCCTCATCCCCTCGCCATTTCACCTTGTAACAACAGAGTAAATGCCCTCATCCCCTCGCCATTTCACCTTGTAACAACAGAGTCGATGCCCTCGTCATTACGCCCTGTCAATGCCCTCGCCATTATACCTTGTAACACGAGTCAATGCCCTCGCCATTACCCCCTGTAACAACAGTCAATGCCCTCGCCATTACCCCCTGTCAATGCCCTCGCCATTACCCCCTGTAACAACAGTCAATGCCCTCGCCATTATACCTTGTAACACGAGTCAATGCCCTCGTCATTACGCCCTGTCAATGCCCTCGCCATTACCCCCTGTCAATGCCCTCGCCATTAAATTTAGTAACCTAGCAGTCTATGCCCTCACCATTACACCCTGTGACAACAGAGTCAATGCCCTCGCTATTACACATTGTAACACCAGAGTCAATGCCCTCGTCATTACGCCCTGTCAATGCCCTCGCCATTACACCCTGTAACAACAGAGTAAATGCCCTCATCCCCTCGCCATTTCACCTTGTAACAACAGAGGCAATGCCCTCACCATTTATTTTTCTAACTATGGAGTATATGCTTCCATCATTTAACTTTTGTAACCAGGTTATCAATGCCCTAACTATTTAACTTTGTTACCATGTAGTCAATCCCCTCCGACATTTAATTTTGTAACCACGTAGTCAATGCCCTCACCATTTAACTTTGTAACCACGTCGTCAATGCCATTACCATTTAACTTTGTAACCATGTAGTCAATGCCCTCAGACATTTAATTTTGTAACCATGTAGTCAATGTCCTCACCATTTTACTTTGTAACTTTGTAAACAATGCCATCATTGTAACAGATACACTTCAATGCCTAATCACTTTAATTATGCACTCATAATGCCTCCATGGTTTCAGTACTGCATTCGCCATTACACGCTGTAACAACAGAGTCAATGCCCTCACAATTACACCCTGTAACAACAGAGTCAATGCCCGCACCATTACACCCTGTAACAACAGCGTCAATGCCCTCGCAATCACACTCTGTAACATCAGAGTCAATGCCCTCACCATTACACCCTGTAACAACAGAGTAAATACCCTGGCCATTATACCTTGTAACACGAGTCAATGCCCTCGCCATTACACCTTGTAACAACAGAGGCAATGCCCACAACATTACACTCTGTAACAACAGAGTCAATGCCCTCGCCATTACACCCTGTAACAACAGAGTCAATGCACTCGCCATTACACCTTGTAACAACAGAGTCAATGCCCACAACATTACACTCTGTAACAACAGAGTCAATGCCCTCGCCATTACGCCCTGTAACAACAGAGTCAATGCCCTCGCCATTACACCCTGTAACAACAGAGGCAATGCCCTCGCCATTATACCTTGTAACAACAGAGTCAATGCCCTCACCATTACACCCTGTAACAACAGAGGCAATGCCCACAACATTACACTCTGTAACAACAGCGTCAATGCCCTCGCCATTACACCCTGTAACAACAGAGTCAATGCACTCGCCATTACACCTTGTAACAACAGAGTCAATGCCCTCACCATTACACCCTGTGACAACAGAGTCAATGACCTCACCATTACACCCTGTAACAAAAGAGTCAATGCCCTCGCCAATTACACCCTGTAACAACGGAGTCAATACCCTCACCATTACACCCTGTAACAACAGAGGCAATGCCCTCGCCATTATACCTTGTAACAACAGAGTCAATGCCCTCACCATTATACCTTGTAACAACAGAGTCGATGCCCTCGTCATTACAATCTGTAACAACAGGTTCAATGCCCTCACCATTATACCTTGTAACACGAGTCAATGCCCTCGCTATTACACATTGTAACAACAGAGTCAATGCCCTCACCATTACACCTTGTAACAACAGAGTCACTGCCCTCGCCATTATACCCTGTAACAAAAGAGTCAATGCCCTCGCCATTACACCCTGTAACAACAGAGTCAATGCCCTCGCCATTACACCCTGTAACAACAGAGTCACTGCCCTCGCCATTATACCCTTTAACAAAAGAGTCAATGCCCTCGCCATTACACCCTGTAACAACAGAGTCAATGCCCCCGCCACTACAATCTGTAACAACAGAGTCAATGCCCTCGTCATTACACCCTGTCAATGCCCTCGCCATTACACCCTGTAACAACAGAGTCAATGCCCTCGCCATTACACCCTGTAACAACAGTCAATGCCCTCGCCATTACACCCTGTCAATGCCCTCGACATTACACCATGTAACAACAAGGTCAATGCCCTCGCCATTACACCCTGTCAATGCCCTCGCCATTACACCCTGTCAATGCCTCGCCATTACACCATGTAACAACAGAGTCAATGCCCTCGCCATTAGTAGCAGACCTATAATCAATTTTCGCTGGGGTTTTGAATTCTTGCTTTGAAAGTAATTCACGAATATAACGAAATATAAAGCACGTTACAGTAATACAGTAGTGAGCTAAATTTAAAGTGATATGACAAAACTTGTCAGAGACTATCCTCACCGATAACAATATGCAAGTCAATACTTCTATATGTTATATCGATCATAGATAATACTGCAAGATAGCATTAAAATTCACACTCACATGACCGATTACCATTAACCTTTGTAAACACGCCAGCAATGCCCTCGCCATTAAATTTAGTAACCTAGCAGTATATGCCCTCATCATTAACCTTTGTAATCACGCTGTCAATGCCCTCGCCATTAAATTTAGTAACTTAACAGTCTATGCCCTCGCCATTCAACTTTGTACCCTTGCAGTCAACGCCATCATCGTTTAACTTTTTAATCACACAGTCTATGCCCTCACCATTAACCTTTGTAATCACGCTGTCAATGCCCTCGCCATTAAATTTAGTAACCTAACAGTCTATGCCCTCACAATTCAACTTTCTAACCAAGCAGTCAACGCCCTCATTGTTTAACATTGTAACAACGCAGTCTATGCCCTCACCATTAACCTTTGTAATCACGCTGTCAATGCCCTAGCCATTAAATTTAGTAACCTAGCAGTCTATGCCCTCACCAGTAACCTTTGTAATCATGCTGTCAATGCCGTCGCCATTAAATTTAGTAACCTAGCGGTCTATGCCCTCGCCATTCAACTTTGTAACCTAACAGTCAATGCCCTCATCGTTTAACTTTGTAACCGTGAAGGCAAAGCCTATATGGTAAGCAAACACTGATCAGACAAATGATATGATCAATGCATCCATGATTACCACTTTCACATCCACACGAGAACGGGCCAATATAAAAAACTACGAGTAGAAAGCTGAAGTTCCACAATACACTAGCAGATTGTCGCGGACCCAGTACAATATTACGACAGGTAGATCAATGTCTAACCTTCAGATATATATACAGTATAATATCATGGTTATACGGCGAGTTAAAATCATACAAATGTCTGTCAAAGGGAACATATAAAACATAAATACCTGCTTCGTCGCAATAGGAACCTTTCACTCGAGGAAAACTAAACATATGGGACCCGGATAGGACCCGGATATAATGTTTATACGTCATGTTTTCAGAAAACGAAACTACAAACTGTCTCACTTCCGAGTACAATAATGATATCGATAGTAGCGCTATTATGACGCTAGTGTACGCCGAGCACCCATTTCAGCTCGCCGCATTGACACGGTCTACACGAGTATATGATCTAATCTGTATGTAATCGTTACCGACTGAGTAGGTGTTCACGCGAGAACGACCCGCGCCCGTGCATAACGTGACACCGAGCGCGGAGCGTTACAGCTTAAATTATTATGAATAACTCAATTTAGGCCGAAATATAGCTGTAACAAATTCTCAAGACATGTATACGGTACCAATCGTCATCGTCGTTCTTATCAGTGGTATTTACTTGTAATTTACCATATTGTTCCCCTTTAATTCGTTAGACAGTATAGTGGTGTGGGAAGTGGGGTAGGGGGCACCCCACTATATTTATCCCCATCAGGCGCGTAACTGCGTATACGTTAGTACGCAGATGAATCCACCAAATGTCCAAACAACAGAGATTACGAATGCATATGGTTTACATATCTGGCAGACTATCGTCGATAATTAAACGTAAGAAGGGATAGTTTTTCGGCATAAACACAACAATCTCTTGAAAATTATGCAAAAAGGCGGTCCTCATTAACAAATATGTCTTTCATGGCAGCAGGTGGACTGCCGAGGATCGTCGCAATTTGCACGTCCCTATATGAGTTAGCAAGAAAAACATACACATGCACCGGATAATCGTTGACTATCTTGGTGAAAAGTCTATCACGTAGAGTTAGCAACGTGGGACTACGGCATGCGCAACTGCATCTTCTACAAAGATATTGCACTGGGCACATGATAGTTCACAATTAGGTGGAATACCCCATAGCTTTGAAACGTTTTTACACGTTGTGTTGAGATTAGGGAAACATTTAGATAGGTACCATAGTGGCGAAGGGCTGATCTCACACTGTAGGTGTTTAAATCTTAAGAACTCATCACAAACATTGAGACGTTCACTCCTGTGCAAGGAGTACTTGCCTAATACGACACCTTTTGTGAAGTGTTTCCAATAGTTTTTAACCGGGAAAACCCCAGTTTGCAAAAATTGGTACAAAAAGTCTTGTAGATCATATTTGTGAAGTCTTTTCCAGGTTTCTAGAACAAAACCTTTTCCGTTACAACAAAAGCCAAAATATACATGAAATAATCGCAGTAAGAACAATCTCTTTGCTGTAAAACGTGCATCTGTTCTGCATAAAGCAGAGAAGAATCGAAGTTCCGATAACTCAATGTTTAGACGTATGGACGTAAGTCCAAGCATACTAAGGACAATATCTGATCGAGTGCGCCGCGGAAAACCTTGAATGAGCTTTGCACACAAATGTTGAACTGTTTCAATGCGATTCCATTCGGTCTCGGAGAGTGAATACCAGAGTTCACAGACAAAAAGGCTACTTGGCATTACAATTGTTTTATACAGCTTAGCACCGGTCAATGGGTTGATTCCAGTACCAAATAAGTTACAGTTAAGCAAGGCAAAACATTGACCACGTAGTTTGTGAACAATCTCATTGACATCTGGATAGCCTGGTTTGAACTTGTTCAAAAATATACCGACATGTTTACAATGTATAGATTAAGGGAGAGCTTCGTTGCCGAGACTCCGTCTGCGTGTTATCTTTGAAAAGACACTTTTGCTTTCATTAAAAACAATTGCGGTAGATTTTGATGCGTTGTAACTAAATCGCCACTTACAACTGTAACTGTAGCAGATGTCCACGAGACAGTCCAAGCCACGTTTACAAAGAGACAGAAGGGTAATATCATCTGCTTGAGTTGGACAAGTAACATTACCACCATGTATAAGTAAAGAGTACTGTGAAGCACATAACTCATCCAGTAAATCATTAATAAAAACTGTATACAGCAAGGGAGAAATAATGCTTCCCTGACGCGTACCTTGGCATATCTTAAACCAGTTAGAAATAAAATCTTGGTGCAATACTGCGCTGTACATATTTGAGTATAATGAAACAATGATATTGATATACTTTGACTTTAGACCTAAACTGTGAAGTTTAAAAAAAACCAGGCCGTTATGCCAAACACAGTCAAATGCTTTGGCAGCATCAAGAAAACATGTAAAAAGTTTACTGTTATTATCACACGCATATGTGATAGATTCATGGACTAGAAATGACGTCATAGTACTACTTACATTCTTTTGAAATCCATTCTATAAGGGGTTAGGTATAAACAAGTTTGTTTCCTCAAGTCTGATAAGTAATAATTTTTCAGGGACTTTCAGAATCACTGGCAACAGAGAGATAGCACGATAATTATTGGGGTCACTCTTTGGCTTGTTATGACCTTTGTATAGTGTACAGATCAAACCCTTTGTGAGTACAGGAGGAACATACTCCAATCTTAAAAAAGCATTAAAAAGAACATACAAACAGTTGTACACAGTGTCGTGGGCATAGAGTAAATGTTGGTACACAATTTGATCGTGCCCAGCTGCTCTACCTCGTGGTAAACTTTTACAGACCCTTTTATTATCAGACAAACATTTCATCAAAACATTCATTGTTTATTATATGATTGGATAGAATATTGGCAACAGATGTATTGATTTGGTCTTCAAAATTAGCATCAACGTCATTAAGAGACGACTGGGAATAAATGTCTTCAAAATATTCACCCCAATGTATGGCTAGAAGAGCAGGGTCTCTAATGACCCTCCCGCTAAAGTTCAGCGCCAACAGCACCCGAGGATGACTTACAGCGACTTTCGATTTACATCCGCACGTTTCTCAATGTCGTTGTTTACGTCTACAATATGGTCTTCTGAAACCTGACGATGTGTTTTCCTAAATAGGCAATTTGCATTTGTATAGAGCCTAAAGGTATTATTGGAGAGGGGGTCCCGAGGTCGTCTTTGAGAGATCCATTCCTGACGCAACCGCCACATATATTGCTATGGAGTTCCTTTCTATGATTATTCCAGTACGGTTTAAGGAATCTACAGAATTAACGCTTCGGTAACACCCATTCTGAAGTCCGCTGAACGCAATTCACAAGCTCGTTGGTGTAATTTTCAACATCATCCTTAGAACAAAGCTCTCGCATGTTCCCTAACGACGAGTTACCGATGCATTCATCCAGACTATCTCGATAAACATCAACTTTCTAAGAACCTCCAGAAGTAATCCACTTATAAGAGACTCGCGTCGGAGTAATAGACCTTTCTCATTTTGGGGTAGACCTAGCAAGGAGACAGAAACCTAGACAAGCAAATACAGGGGTCACTTCAAAAATAATTGTATATGGAACGTAGCGTATAGGGTATGTCAGAGTGTGTACACGCACAGGTACGTGACTACAGGTAAGCGAACAGGTAACATCATATGGAGACACATTATACA